GGTGACCCCATGTGTGCTTCACAGGGTTTTCAAGGATGGGATTTTTGGAAGCAGATCACCAGGTCTGCTTCTGAAGTGCTGCTGTTCAAATCACGAATCTTTTGGTTAGTCATCAAGCATTTAGCTGTGTGTGCCACCCAGAGACTGGACATTAGCTGTGCTCTAATGGTGTGGTGCTGTGGGTTAATGGGACACACTGTAAAGGCGTTTGAATTGCAAGGTCAGCAGTTGAACTGCAAGGTCAACTTCAAGCTCACCAGCTGCACCTTGGAAACCTTACACAAGGTCGCTATGGGTTGGAACTGACTTGAAGACACTTCACAATAACAACAATTTTATAAAATGCCAATTTCATAAATGATATTTCTTGTTCATATAAAGCAAGTTTCATGTCAAAGTTACATTGCACCCACATTTGGAAAATGCAGGAAAGGTGCATTTTAAGATGGGAATTGTAAAATAAATCTGAGTTTGGAGGTTTTAGCATTCACACTTAATTGTGTCCTAGTATGAATAAACACTTTTTTGAGCAGCTCCTTAGGATCGTTCCTAATAAAGCAGCTGCGTACTCTATTCCTCTGCTGGGCATTCCTGGCTCTTGATTTTTAATTGGAAGGACCATGACTTGCATTTCTTTACATCACCCGGGAGGTTTGGGATAAGGCTTCATAAATCCTAGGTGACCAACAAAGGTACGGTTCTTCTCTGGGGTGGGGTGGGGGCGCCTGCCCAAATGCCAGTATCCTTACCTGTGCGTGCATGAGATGGCTCAGGAGTCTCCAAGATGAAGCACAAAGCATTTTTGCTTCTTATTGTCAGTTCTCTAGACCCTTGCCAAGACATTAGTATTCAGGCTCTGTCTGATCATCCTTGAGCCCATGAGCTCTGTAAACCACACTGGATCTTCTGTCAGGAAAACCTCATTAATTTGGGCTGCTTTGAGATCTCCAGGTGGTTTGGACCGGGACCTCGCCATTATTTATTTATTTCCCTTCCTAAAGAAAATGGTGCATCTAAAACATTTAAGAGATGTTTTTCTTCAAGTATACTCAGGCATTCTGGAAATCCAGTTATATCATATAATGTGCTCATTTCAAATCAGTCTTCTTTGCTTATTAAAGCAGATCCCCACTTACCTTTTCTTGCAACACATTTATAGATTGATTTGTGTTGAACTGAATCCTCTGAAGTAACCCCACAGTGGCTCTTTAGATGTAGACCAAATAGTCCAAATGCACCAACTGAACGTAAGTAGTGCTTTGGTGTTGTCATTAAGTGCTTTGAGTCGGTTCCTACCCATAGCAGCCCTGTATAGGGTTTCTGAGGAGTAGCTGGTGAGGTTGAACTGCCGACCTTGCAGTTCAAATGGCTTTGCAGTCTGGCACATTAACCCACAGCACCATACTAGGACTTCTTTAAGTAGTGCTTTACATAGTACATATATTGCTTCTAAAATATTGGAATAACTGCATGGGGAGTAGCTTAATCATCTTGTTTAACTGTTTTAAAAGACGGAGGTATCACCTACCATACATTTATTATATGGTCTCTACAATCTGTTGAAATTCATTGTCAGGCATGTGGAGCAATAAACTTTGCAGATGTAAACAGATGTAACTCCAATAGAACCCAGGTAAATACTACACTCCATTGAGGGATGTCAAAGGCATGTCTGCATATCCGGCCATCTGTAGTCTTGATTTCTAACTCTCCAACTTGTACTTTACATTGTTGTCAGTCAAGATTAGGTAGCTCTACTTGATCAATGGGCTGCTATAGAAAATAATTTTAGGATGAGTAGGAAATAAGACATGGAATGATTTCCTCAAACAGAGACTTGGCCTTTTGCTTACTCAGATCTGAAGGGGCAAAATGGCTACACTGTCCAGATAGTAATACAGACTCTCCGTTTCTGGAATATATTACCTTAGGATGCTTCCTGGGCAGTATGTTGTTGTTGTTGTTGTTGTTAAGTGCCATCAAGTCGGTTCTGACCCATAGCGACCCTGTACAGGGTTTCCAAGGGTGTAAATCTTTACGGGAGTAGAAAGCCTCATCTTTCTCCCGCAGAGCGGCTGGTAAAAATTGGTCAATTGGTCAACATACCGGATACAGTTTTCATTATGGAAGTACATGTGGCAGAAAGTTTAGATGAACCGTGAAGAAGGAGGTAGGATGGGGTTGAGTAAGGGAGAGAACTGGATTCATCTCAAAAGGTGGGTCACTGTGACAACTACACTTTTGGTTTCCTTTTTTCTCCCTAGGGACATTGCTACTCTGGGTATTGCTGTCAGTACCATTAATGATGTCACTGGCCAGGCAAGTCTCTTTATGAAATTAGCTACTTGTCCCAGTGTCTGATTTGGCAAACCAGCTCTTCAAATGTGTGCCAAATATGAGGCATAGGAGAAGAGAGCCAAAACACCATTTGCAAATTGAAAAGGAAGACATCCTGTCATAATCCCCAGCTTTAGATGCCACATCACCTTCTTTATGAGTCTAGCACCAGTAAAAAGAAATATCTAATCACAAGGGGGCTCTTAAGATTTAAAATATTAGGGTATTAGCAGGTTGATAGCATTTCCTGTTTTAAGTATATTTATTGATTATTTATTTATGCTATGAACTAATGAAGTGGCCTATGTTTTCCTCTTTGCCTATAACCTCTCAGCAACATCTATAACACAACAAGTTGCTTTTCTTTAAAGAGGTAGTATAGATGTTAACATTCAGCAGAAATCTTTCTCACACTCTTTTATGCAAAGTCTTTGAAATAGTTCCTGAAAAAACAAGTCTAAAAAGGAAAGCTGTTCAGGTGAGAAAATCTCTTGGTATGCATGAAAAGACTCACTGTGTTGAAGGTCCGGATGGGGTTGAGGTAGCTTTCATTTGGGGTGCTGCCCAGTTTGGACAGTGCGGCTGGAAGTCCACTAGCATCTGGGGACTGGCTCCAGTTGTAATGTTCCAGGTTGAACAAGTGTGCCACTATGTGGATAGCTGTGGATGGGGAGATGGTGTTGTTCATGCATCCTGTGGCTTTTCATCTTTGTACTACTCAAAGTCTCTTGAGGATCAACTTTCTCTGTTCTGGTAGTATCTCAGGAAAAGTAATTTGTTTGGACATCTTTCCTAGTACCTTGAATGGAGCTAAGTGAGAATGTTTAAAGATAGTGCATGATTCCCATTCATTTTAGTGATATCATGAAATACAATAAATCTTAATTCACAGTAATTTAATTACAAACATATTGGGGGTTTCAAAAAGTTCATGGAAAAATGGAATGAAAAAATAGTCAACTTTTCCACGAACTTTTTAAGCCCCTCCATATGATCTTTAAGGAAATGGAATAGTTATTATAACATAACATTGCTACCACATTGTTAGACAAATAACAAGCTTCTTCTACTACCTTGTTCCGACTATGGTAACCTACCCTTTCAGAGGTAGTCCAAGAAAGCACACCATGCCGATTTCTTTTACATGCTATTGTAAAAAAATAATTAACATAGTACACTTAGAAAAATACCATGGTGGTTGTTGTTGTTAAGTGTAATTAAGTTAGTGCCAATGTATAGTGACCTTGTATAGGGCTTCCAAGAGCTACTGGTGGGTTTGAAGTACCAAGTTTGTGGCTCAAAATGACTTTTTGGTCCAGTGCTTATCCTATAGTGCCACACCAGGACTCCGGATGGCGCAATTGGCAAACAAATGTAGAATGGGTGTGTTATGTGTATAAAATTAGTATTTGTTGTTGATATTGTTAAATGCCATTGAGATGGTTCATATTCACCAGCCGCTCCTCAGAAACAATGAGTTGGAACTGATTCAATGGCACTTAACAAAGACAACAAGATATTTGTGGAAGCAGATTGATAGGCCTTTTTCCCATGGAGACAATCCGGGGATTCGAACTGCCAACCTTTCTGCTAGTAGCTGAGTACTTAACCATTGTGCTATAAGAGCTCCTTTATATACACATACACACAATATACATACAAACAGACATTTGCGCATATTCTTGAGAAAAGCCCAGTATCTATGGAACTAAATCTTTTTGTATATTCTTAAGGGAACAGCTTTCTAAATCTGGGTCTTAGCTATGTCTGAATTCTGAATGAAGGGAACAAGCTAAGAGACACAGCATTGTCTGGCCTGAGGATTCTGTGTCTGATGCTACTCTTTCCTGTCTTGTGAAATCCTTGGGGCCTTTACATTCCAGCAACTACATCTGATGCTTTTCCAGCAAATGGATCGCCTGCTGGGTAGCCGGTTGATATTCCCTACTGGGACCAGATTCAAGTGTAAAGTGAGAATTCATTGTCAGGATAAAGATAATGTCTAGGTGATTTTTTTTTCTGCATTCATAGTGAGCAGGACCTACTAATATTATACAGTCCATATGAGGAGTCCTGGTGTAGTACTGTAAGATAAAGCACTCAACCATAAGGTCAGTTTGAACCACAAGATTGGTGGTTCAAACTCACCAGCCACTCCTTGGAAACCCTATGCGGAGATGCTCTGAGTCAGAACTGAGTCCAGGGCACTTAACAGCAACAACATGAGTTGTAAGGTGCTCGGTGGTACAGTGATTGGCAGCTAACCAAAAAGATTGACCTTTGAAACCTACCAGCTGTTCTGCCAGGAACCATGTGGCAGTCTGCTTCGGTAAAGATGATAGCATTGGAGACCCTCTGGGTAGTTTTACTCCATCTTGCAGAATTGCTGTGAGTTCAGAATCCACTCAAGGATCATGGGTTGTACACATGTGAGAGTTCTGGGGTTTTCCGTGGCTATACATTGTGTACTAGGAGTGGGGGAATGAGAGAATATGGACCAGAAGATGTTTCTAAGGATATTGGTGTTGCTTTGGTCCCTGTGGTCTTAGTAACAGTTTTATTTAGAGTCACTATCTTCTGTTCAGCTGCTTTTCTTCCTATCAGAGCCATTCCTGTTTCTATCTTCCAAACTTCTACCGGTGCTTTAAGACCCAACTCTACAGTTGTACTTCCTATCAAGCCTTCTCCAATTCCAGAGGGTCAAGTGACACCTTGATGGTAACATCTCCCAAACAGTATTCTTATAAGTATTTATTTATTCCTGTGTTCCCATTCCTTAGGATGAATTAATCATTGACCCCTTAGCACCTGTCATACTGTTTAATAAAACAAACAAACAAACAAACAAAACCATTGCTGTTAAGTTTAATTCCAACTCATAGCAGCCAATAGAACAGACTGGAATTCTCCCATAGGGTTTTCAGGGCACCGTACAGTAAGCACTGGGCTGCTAATTGCAAGGTCAGTGGTTGGAGTCCTGGTGTGGTCCCAGAAGATAAGCACTTGGCCTCAAGGTCAGTTCGAACCATAAAGTTGCCAGTTCAGACTCATTAGTCATTCCTCGGAAACTCTGTACAGGGTCACAATGAGTCGGAACTGACTCCATGGCACTTAACAACAACATGAGTCGGTACTGACTTGATGACCCTTAACAACAACAGTCTTTATGGAAGCAGACTGTCACATCTTTCTCTTGTGGAACATCTGATGGGTTTGAATCACAGAACTTTTGGTTAGAAGGCATATTGCTTAACACCAGTAAACAGTTAGTAATGACTTGTTGAGTAAGAATGAGATTGCAGCAAGAAAGAAGGTATAAAGGCAGGGCCAGAGAATGTACAGATCTCCACCCTGTGGCGTTGCTGGGTCATTTTGTTTCTCCCCTCTGCTGATAGATACTGGTATCTTTTGCATGTTTTTCTGATAATTAGCTAAAACTTTTCAAAAATAGGCAATAGCTCTCTAGCTAACATGTATGAAGTATTTACAGCACTGTGGTAAATGCTTTAAACATACTATTTCATTTCACACATGAGTATTACTCTTTTTCTCATTGTTTAGGGTTAGGGTTCAAAAAGTGAAGGTATTTGTAATCTATTTAGATTGGGGTTCAAAAAGTGAAGGTATTTGTGATCTATTTAGATTGGGGTTCAAAAAGTGAAGGTATTTGTAATCTATTAATGGCAAAAATGGGAGTCCTGGTGTGGTGTTGCAGGATAAGTTGTTGTTGTTGTTGTGTACCGTGGAGTTGGTTCCGACTCATAGCAACCCTCTACAGGGTTTCCGAGGCTGTAATTCTTTCCGGGAGCAGAAAGCCTCATCTTTCTCCTACGGAACAGCTGGTAGTTTCGAACTGCTGACCTTGCGGTTTGCAGCCTGATTCGTAACCACTACGCTATCAGAGTAGGCTAAGTACTGGATGGTATTTAACAACAATAACAATAGCAAAAGTGAGACAAATCCATATTTACCTGAATCCAGGGCTCTAGCTTTTAACTTCTCAGCTGCATTGCTTCCCTTCAATAATTAATATCTGCTTACTCAGAAGTAGCTTCTCTTACAGGCTTAGGTAAAACACTGCTCTAAAGGCTTAGGACTGCTCACCATTTGTGCAGGCCTCATAGCAGGGTCTTATAAAGGTTCTGTTTGTACTTAACCCTTTAAGGTCACTCTCTATTTGATTCCTCTCCCATCGAAGAGCGGAGCTTGCATCCACTTTACAGAGATGGAAACTGAGCTTCAGACCCAGCTAAGTGGCATGTTTTTTATTATATAATAAACATGCAAAAGTCAGGCAACATAGGATATGTTTTGTGCCGTTTACATTCTATATGCTCTAATGTCTTTCTCCCTTGTGTAATGAGTTGTTGATCATAATCTGTTTTCTATTAGAATGGTTTCCGCATTGGAATTTGACACCATTAAACGAAATTTGAGTACAGTTATTGAATGAGCAAAGATATTGAACAATTTATTTATTTTTATTGCCAAGTCTCCCATAACAGATCTGAAGAAATTAATCAAGAGAACCCAAGATGCTTTTCCAGAGGTAGTTCCCAGGAGAATTTGTTGGAAACTAGTCTCTCTAGTTTTTTGTGTTTTTCCAATTAATTTAAAATTTCTGTTTAAAATGTTCCTTTGCTCCAGCGATCTCTTTTGTTTTCTGTTCACAAGGGAGCAGATCACAACTGGAATCTTTTATCTTATTTATCTTAGGAATTTTCAGACAGAGAACTACTTGTGCTTGTTTTGTTTGTCTAAACACTCTATTTTCCTCTTAGACAGGATCCTAAATTTTTGTGATTTTGCCTCAGAATTGAAGATGTCCAAGCTCCAAGTCTAAGACTATTGGAACTTGATGACAGGAGAGATGTAATTTTTGGCCTTTTTCAGGCATTATGTTGTTGTTGTTGTTAAGTGTCATCGAGTCGGGTCCGACCCATAGCGACCCTGTACAGGGTTTCCGAGGGTGTAAATCTTTACGGGAGTAGAAAGCCTCATCTTTCTCCCGCGGAGCGACTGGTAGTTTCGAACCGCTGACCTTAAGGTTCGCAGCCCGATTCGTAACCACTACGCTACCAGAGCTCCTTATATGTTCTATTATGTCCATTTGTACATTTTAGTTATTTAAAAATAAATAGCAGGTACTATTTATGTTTACAGTGACGACTGCTTCAGATATGTAATGTTGTTGCTGGTTAAGTGTAGTCAAGTTAGTTCTGAACCGTAACGATTCTGTGTAGGGTTTCTGAGGAGTAGCTGGTGGGTTTGAACTGCTGGCTCTGTTAGTTGTCCACTGCACCATACCAGGACTCCTCAGATAGTATTGTTCGTTGTTAAGTGCCATCAAGTCGACTCCAACCCACAGTGATCCTATATAGGATTTCTGAGGACAGGCTGGTGAGTTTGAATTGCTGACCTTTTGGTTCAAATCAACTTTGCAGTTTAGGGCATTAACCCACAGCGCCACACCCGGACTCCATGTAATTGTATAGTAATATCATTTTATCTTTCCCTCTCTTAGTCAGCAATATAATTTCATGCTACTAGATTCGATATTAATATATAGTAGGACACCTCTCATTTAGTTAAGTTTCTCAGCCCCCATTTTCTCATCTGTGAAATGGGTGGAGTAAACTACTTATTATCTAAGCTCCCTT